CGCTAGGCAAAATGTCAAAGGTCTGAATGCAAGTTATAAAAATCTCCCTTCTAAAAATTAACCAACTAGTGCAGCTGTAGTCATTATTCACCAGGGTAAAAAGTTGCAAAAGGTTTTTAAGGTGAACATTTAACTGTTACACTGGGATTTTTTTTTTAAGTCATTTTAAGGACGTGAGCACAAGTCATTCTAATTAAGGCTTTGGGCACAGAGAATTGAGAGCATTCAAAAGGAGACTTCTTTGGTATAATCCTCTCTCTGGGTTTGGTAATGACTACAAGGCTTTGCTCAGTAATTTCTATATCTCTACACATACTTTGGCAAATAAGCTAAAGATCTTGACTGAACTTTATGGATCCAGTTTTCTTTGCGAGCCTGTTTGGTTGGACTCTTCAAGTAGGTCTTAAAATTTTCTGGAACAAGTTTAGATTCACAAACATATTTTGCTGATGTAAATGAAGAGGCCTCTTAACATAATAACATTATGCAGTAGCTATGCTTACTGTACTGCATGCATTATTCGAAGCACGTTCAATACGTTCCTGATGCAGAACTGTTTGTACTGGTTCATCCAATCATCCTCTATCAAATGTGTCCTCCAGGGTTATCAAATCAACACACACACATACATATTTGTTGAACAAATATGGCTTGGGAACCCTCTGCCTGAATCTGAAAATCTGATTTTTCTATGGGGTTTGTGTTCTCTTTGGAAAATGAATAATGTAAACCTTACTACTTTTCTATCTTTCTCTATCAGAGAAAAGACTCCATTACCTAGTTAGCTCAGATTATGCCGATGTTAATCAAATTTTGGCATATAACATTAATTCTCAAATGCAAAAGCGTAAGTAAACAGAGCCAGGAATGCAGTAGGACAGTTCAATGTTGAGTTTATAGGCTATACAGCCTTTAAAAATTCTTTTTTTAAAGCAGGATCATGCCCATAACATTGTTTTTTTATGGTCTATTGTTTGTCAGATAAGATAAAGTAGATATACAAGTACCTACCATAGCATCAACAGATATGGGCTTTCATTCTCCTTGTTCCTCAAGACGTATAGTGTTTCCTGACAAGAGAAAAGATCTTTTTTACTGAATACAGAAGACTAAAATATACACTAAAATAAACAATATTAGACTACAATTAAAAGACAAACTAAATTATTAAGGAAAAGCTTTAGATAACATTTGTAATGTTTAAATACTGCTCTCTGTTACTAGAATTTATGTAAAAATAAATTATTACAAACTAGTGGTTATGGTGTTTTACATTTGTTTAATAGGGAATAGTTTGCCCAAATTAAACTAAGCTAAGGTTTTTTAGATTACTAAAACAAATTAAAAGTTTTAAAGTGAGAATTTAGGTGATCTTAAAACCTTTCTAAAATCTACAATGAAACTTTCTAATTTGTATCCTCCCTGTTTTTATTGGTTATATTAAGATAAATTGAGATTAAAATCTTATTTGATTTATTTACCTTTGCAAATGAAGACCGTTTTAAGGGTTACACATCCTCTGCCTCTGACGAAAGCGACCTCAATTAGTCAAGTCAGAAAGTCTTTAAAAGCTTTGTGTTTATTGCTTCCAGCACGGAGCGAGGTGGTCATTAAGGTACCAAAATTCTCATAAAAATTCCAAAGTTGCACTAGTGAAAAAATGCTCAACAAGATGAAAACTAGTCACATCTTTTTCAGAAAATTCATTAGCTATTTTAAACCATTTTTAACAAAGATTTTGTTTTAATGTGGCACTCAAACAGATCCATACCATTTGGATACTTTAAACAGCATTTAAATCTACTGTGAGTACATAAATGTACATTTAGGTTTATACCAGTTTTAAAAGCTGTACAGTGTTTAGTGTGAGCCTTTTATCTTGATCATTGTGTTAAAAGAATTTCTCCCTGTTTACTACTATTTATGAAGGTTTATTGTAAAATAAAGCATAACATTACTCTCACACAGTGATTTTCTTTCAAAAGTTTATTTAGTATCAAGCAAGAGTAAACTTTGCTTAACACTACAGAACATTTCAAGACTTAAGTTACAAAATACCACATTATTTGCATTTGTAATCTGCTTCCCTTTTTACGCATGTTTGCAAGAGAAAAACTAGCAAATGGTTGAAAGATAAAACTAAAAGAACTAAACTGTTGAAAACCTTTAAATAAAAGGTTACGCTTATATTAAAAGAATGGATTAACATATTTAGTAAACCTATTTTTTGTTTAACACTAGTTAATCAAAGGTTATTTTTGATCACCTATTTTTCAAATACAGTTTGGAAATAACAAAGTTCTCTCTCTCTCTTTTTTTTTTTTTAAACATATCATTATGCCCAGGTTGTTCTTTCCTCAAAATAGTTTAAATTCAGTCCATCCATTCAGATATTTAAGCACTTTGATTTAATAAAAAGGGAGTGTTCATAGAAAAAATTACTTTGAACAGTATACAGGACTGGTGGAGATTGGGTATTTCACAACATCAGACAGTACAATCAGTATCTGGCATATGGCTGGTCTCTGTAGACTCCCTTTGTTGTCCTTGCTGAAGGTGTCTTGTGTCTCGAGTTGGTCCATTCTTCTTGCCCTAAAAGGAAGGAAAAACATCATTAGATTCTTCTCAATATTTTGTGTGTTGTTGTTCTTATTATATCTATCCATCCATCTTTGGTTTAATTTTGGAGTCCATTGCGGGTGAGGTTTTTGAGCTGAAAGACGTCGAAGCCGAAATCCAACACTGATAAAAATGCTCTGTTATAATACAAGCTGGAGAGAATGGGCCTGCATTGCTCATCCAACGTGCCTCAATACAATGATATGGAGTAGGTGTAAGAAAGTTCAGGTACCTGTAACATTCAGTCAGGCTTCTCTGCTGAGACTATCAACCTGAAGTACCAGCTACGACAGCAGATTGTAATACGGACACTTAAGAAGAAGCAGAGCGATAATGCTACCCAGGCAAGTGAACAGCGATTAGAAGAACTTCTTTGTGTCGATTCCAATTTAGGCTTAATTTGAACTGGCAGGCTACAAGTGAAAAGTTTCAGATTATACTACAAATGCCCATGGCTTCCCTTTTGAAAACAGAACCCAACCAAAAAAAGAGAAAGGAGGATTTCACAGTAAAACTACACTTTCTGTTCAGCGCAAGAATTAGAGGCAGTTGGGCTGTCAGAAGTCTTTTTAAAGCCAAGGAGATTGTTATCATCACTTGCAATAAAAAGTAATTAGCACACAAATAGGGATTTTTATTATGTTGGATGACTCTCATGCACACAATATTGGGCTGTTAAATATATGTATGTTAACACCCTGGACCAAATAAAAAAAAAAAAAAAAAAAAAAAAA